GGGGGCAAGGGGATGGGACGCCCGGGGAGGGTTCTTTCACGCAGAGGGAAGTGGGGGTGGCGGTAAGCGAGGGGGAGCGGCGGAGAGCGGGAAACAGCGATGGGGAGGGGCGACGGGGAATGGCAGTGGTGGAACAGAGTGAGAAGACGCGAGTGGTTGGGACTGAGGCGAGAGATGTGGACGGCGGACGCAGCGGAGAGAGCGAGAGAGAGAGCGAGAGAGAGAGAGCGCGAGAGAGAGAGCGCGAGAGAGAGAGCGCGAGAGAGAGAGCGCGAGAGAGAGAGCGCGCGAGAGAGAGAGCGCGCGAGAGAGAGAGCGCGCGAGAGAGAGAGCGCGAGAGAGAGAGAGAGCGCGAGAGAGCGCGAGAGCGCGCGAGAGAGTGCGAGAGAGAGAGAGAGAGAGAGAGAGAGAGAGAGAAGGTGGAAATGAGCGTAAGAGAGCGGGAAACTTAATCGACGGCACGGTTCGGCACGACGGTCGATGAAATGACAGCGTAAACGACAAGAAATGCCTAAGCAAGGAGAGTGCAATGAGGAAGGCAGAGAGGCTGTCAAAACCGCAGTGTAATTAGCCAATTCCTCACCAGAAAATGTAAATCATTACGATTTGTTTCACTTTTTTAAGAAATAAATCGCTATTATTGAGGTAATGAGTTGGTTCATTGTATATATTTAGTAACATAGTAATTAGTAATTTTACCTAACTTCAATATATCTAATTCATTCTAATGTAAATTATTACAATTAATAGAGTATGAAAGTTTTAAAGAATAAAAAATAAACACTGCCAGTATTCTAAAGTTCCATTCACCTGCTTTTTCTATGCTACATTGCCGGTCTGAAATATACATAATCATTTTTATTGCATGTAAGTAAAGTTGAAGTTATCGAATGTGTATTTATAGGATATCTTTGAGAACGCAAATATTGACGGTCGACTTTAAATATTTAAAACCATCGTTTCAAAGAAAGAAAATGCAAGTGTTTTGTAAATTCAGTTTTCGTTTTTTTACGTAATTTCTGGACATAATTTATTTTATAATATTTGATAACACGCATTATTTGTGAAAATGAATCAAAGCATAGAGAAAACAACGTGCGTTATCGCATATAATCGTCGTACCAACAAACTGACGCGGCCGTTAGCCAACGACAACGCAATAAAAGCCACGGCAGGCTCTTAAAACAAGGTAACGAGCGATTTCCAGCGACAAGTGTTCTAACTAACGTCAACGAAGTTAACGTCAACGAAGTCTTCGAGCGGCTGCGGGAGCACGGGGTGTAACGAAGAGCAGAGGAAGGGAGAAGTGGGAAGGAGAGAGCGGGGAGAGAGCGATTTTTATCGTAAGGATTAGGCCAATTTCCTTTTGCGAAACGAAGCCAATGGCTTTTATGCTCCGATAAATTGTGTAGCTGAACGCGCAGGCGTGAGTCCTATGGGGATGGTGGCAGAGTAAGTGGGTACGAGAGTCAAATCCAGAAGAATTAAAGTTCAGAAACAAGCGTTTACTTTTCTTTTCACATATTTATTCCCCATGAATTCATCCACTTTTACTCTCATTATCTTTCTCCGTCATATTCTTCGTCTTTTTTTCAGTCGGAGCGATACCGATTTAAATTGGTTCGGGCAAGGGACACAAGTTAAGAAATTAATATTTTCTGAACTTTTTTATTTTCCTTCTTCTTTCTCTTTTTCTATTTCTTCTTTGCTACCGTCTCTGAATGCAATGCTGAAATATTTCTCTTGAATCTAGAGTGAATTCTTTCAGACTACAGTGCGTTCACTGATAAATGTCATTGCCGCAATCCTCTCTCCGACTACCATAAGGGTTCCTTTCTATATTTCGTCCAGAAGTATCTATGGTTGCTCGTAAATTCCTACGGAGTATGTAAATCGTGATTTATATAATACACTCCCATACAATACATTTCCTTCTAATCGGCTCACCATTACAGCTGACACTAAAGAAAGGAAACAATTATGATATTTTCTCTCCTTACTAAGTACGTCTAGAAAATAATAAGTCCTCCAAAGACACTCAGCGTTAACATGCAACACTCCCGAAGATTAGATTAATTTTCACTCTTCCAATTGAGTTCAGATTTTACTGATTTTTATTATTTTGTATGAATGCAAAATTCTAAATGGAATAAATATGTAAAGATCTGTAGGAACCATTGAAAATTGTGAAAATACAATATTAATACCTTTGAAAAAATAATAAAATTGGTGTAACAGTAACTTACAGATTTGGAGATGTTCCAGAACGTCGCGTGCTGATTGTTCTGCTTCAGAGGTCTGCAACAGAAGAACACCATATTACAATCATGCGCTTTACCGAGAAAATAAATTAAATAACTCGTAAGCAAGTAAATTATTTACTTAGCAAACGGCAAACCCGGACACCACGGAGAGCCGATTGGCTCTAAAACAAACCTCTGCTGCGAGAATGCACGCAAGCAAGCGAATCTTGATTGATTGATAGTGGTTTTGGGCGCGTCAACTACCAGGGTCTTGAGCTCCGTAAGTCTAGTGCATGCCTGTGCAGTGCAGTTTGTCTCCCCCCGCTGTATGGCAAGGTCCGGGGTCGACTTACCGTCGGCGAGCAGGTATCTCTCCAGCCAGGAATCTCTGTACACGCTCTTCGCTCCCGACCGGTCTCCTGGCATATGTGCTTGTGTAGTGCGTGTTAGTGTGAGTGTAAGGGGTGAAGATAGGACAAGGAAGAGGTAGGAAAGATTGCGCATGGTAGTAGACCCGTTTATTAGGGTACTGCTCCGGCATTCGCCTGGTGTTGATCAAAGAAACCACGGAAAACTACCGATGAGAGCAACCGGATGCTAGATTTCTCCTCCGCCCAGAGACTGAATTCGACGTAGCTGAAAAGCTAGCATCAAAATCCTGCCTTCGTCGGGACGTGAACCTAGGCCCTTCCGGTCAGAGAGACTGCAGGAACATCAGTTGATGCCCTAAGCCATTTCACCCAGTCCGAATCTTCAGATCGCAGGCTGCCGCGGCCCAAGGCAGTACCAGCTGTCTGGGAGACGCCGCGTCCTGGGCGCAGGTGCCAATGCCACCATACTCGAGGGGAACCTAAATATCAACTCGTGCGGTTACAATCTTCACGTATTTCGACCTGAGGAAGATCGCAGAATGGCGGTCGAAACGTCGGCAGCTGTGCCCAGAACGCGGCGTCTAACGGACAGCCAAGTAGCTGCTACAGCGCATCTTGGTGTGTGAATAGAGACAAGTGCTAACCGACCAATAAAATAAGCGTTTCTGAAATCCTTTGGAAGATTTGAGAGGTCAAATCATCTCGGGCAGTTAAAACCCCCTGGGAGATTGCCAAAATTTGACGTAGGGAGGGGCACGGTAAAATTCGCGCACGCCTTTGATAAACAGGTGAGAGGAAGCAGGGTTCACTGTTTTAACCCACACGCACTTAATACTTGCCAGAGTTCATTATAGTTCTGAATCTTAACACAAGGCGAATGAAAGAATAAAACAATGTAGGAAAACATGTAATGCATGCTGAAATGCCCCCTCTGAAAAACACAATACTTTTGCATAATTACAGTATGTGCTTATGTGACACTCTGTGTAGCCTGGGATTGGCAAAAAAGAATAACAATTTTAATTTTTCCAGGAATATAATCGTTCTTCAAAATTCCTAGAGGGGAATATAATACTTGTCGGAAGTATGCTAGAAACTCAAAAGCAATTTTTATGCGTTGTTGTTTGAATAGTGTAGATGAAGGTGTGCATGTATTCGTCCATATATTTAGGGATGATAAAAGAATCATTAATTTTGCATAGTCATCCACTGATATATTTTTCTTATAAACTTGATCCTAAATATATTAGGAAATGCTCCTAGTATGTTGTACTTAATGTGATACTTGAATGAGTTCTTGTAAACGATGGTTGCTATATCTATACAGGGAGCAATATAATGTTGTAGTTTTCCATAAAAGTTATAATTACCGTAAGACACGCTATATTATATTATGTTAGAGAACCTCTAATTTTCTTTCCTAAGACAGTTTTTAAAAATCTCGTCAGCTCTGAAGCATTAACTGGAATTAGACATTCAGCTGAATACGGACAATAAGAAAGTCGAAGGTTACGTTAAAGCCGAGTAAATGACTTAACTCAATTGTCTAACACCGTAAACAGCTCGGAGATTAATTAATTTTTAGAATATCTCCACCGTGAAATGCAGTAATTCAATATAACGGCAGACATTCAGGATTAATTCCCTCTTCCCTACAAAAGGAAAATCAGATTTTCGCAAGCCTCTCTTTAGAGAAGTAGTTGAACCGTCTTCTATAAGCGTTTCTCTGAATTTACTCAAGTTTACTGCAGTCACAAACAAGAACATTAAAAATAAGTAATGTGGGACAGTCAAAATCTTTGATATCTAAAGCAAAACATACATTTAATTGTTTGAAAGACGTTTATACAACTTGTGTGTATTTTGGTGTAGTTATTCATCCATAAATTTCTCAAATGTTTTTTTAATTAATTACATTGCATTAAAGGTGTCTCGGTGGTACAATAGATATTTATGCACAAAGGGCGCTACAAGCATTTTAATGATCAAGCAATGACAAAACGCCAGTGGGCCTGTGGCCCGAGGACATTAGAACCAGTTAACGCCCGTGATACATAATTGTATTTCTTACTTAATTGTATTGATTCATATTTACGTATTTACTACTTAACTAGATATTAACTTGACTCTGTTCAACTGTTTTCATTTTTTCTTACGTATCCACGGTTTTCTCGATGGAGCGTACATCGAACTCCGTATCAAAGGCAATAACAAACTATAACGTTTCAGGAAATATTATGTGTAAGGCATCCAAATAAATCATAGTCAATGATGAACAGTGACAACACTAACCGAGCAAACGACTCATAGATATTTGAATACTATCTAGTTTATCTTCTCGCAGAATTTGAAATGGATATTTTATTTTTAGGGGGGATACTTAAATTTTGTGGGGCACTGAAGGTTGTTCCCCTTCATTGCTGTTGCACAAAATACATTTTAGCTACCAATTCGCGAAATGCGATCTGCAAACTACTCACGTTAACATCTATTACGTAACCAAATTCCTCCATGTTGCCGTGCGCTAATCAAATGCCGTACATAGGTTTTCATTATGCGCGGCGTAATTTACTCATTCATTCAATTTGTTATCCGCATTCACTCCACGACAAGGGCGAACCATGCATCACGGAACAACAATGAAAATTTATGTGAAAAATGTACCTGTATCGACTAGTATAACTGTTTTTTTTTTACATAAAGATCGTTCAAAATCAGTTCATAAAATCAATTCAATTTCTCCTCGCTATTCGCAATTCGTTATTCAAATTAAAGACTAAGTATGCCACTAAATAATGCTTGTTTCGTGCTCTTTCTTTGCTTACATTGCTCTATTTATTATTTATCAACTTAATAATTTTTATTAACTTCTGCGGGTTTCGATTCACAGACGACATGCTGGGTTTCTTCGTATGGCTTGAACCTAAAGATGATGCGCGTTTTATTAAAAGTTTTGAAATGCTCCTCTTCCTTGAATTGCATTTTTTAAATTACATGCAAATTACATAACCGTTTTTGCAGGCGTAATCATGTACTACTGGATTCTTCTAATGGTTTCCTTGGTAGAATATAATAAAGTAAGTTCAAATTCTACATGTTGTTTAGTAATGGGCTCATGTATATTTAGGAACATAAATTTAATTCATAAAATCATACACCCAAACACGATATGTTGAGTTGTCTGTTTATTCTGAAACGTTTACTTAGATTATTTAGAGAGACAAAAGTGATTTTGCTATCAAGGACAGTTTTATTGTGCGATGATAAATTATTATATTGCACCTGCGCATATTTATTAAATAACATTGTATTAATACTTTCACTGACGACAAGAAACTTTTTCAGACTTGCACTACAAGATATATTTTCTCCTCTCTGTCATATACATTAAAGAGAGAAATATTGAAATATTCTTAAGGTATTGGAAAAAATTGCAATTGAAATGAAGTAGGAAAAATTCACATAAAATTGGTAGATAATATTTTCGATTTTCTGACTGTAAAGTCAGTTTTAAAATATACAAGAAAGAGTTTTGAAATACTACCCGTTATTTCAAAATGTTTCCCAGCAGTAGCTAATTTCTAACACAATGTAGTCATCCAGCCCGCTTTCACATTTTCCACCATCTCCCTCTCGCATGTTCTTCTGTGCGAAGCTGCCAAAGAGCTAACGACGTTCGCTCAGTTGAATTTTATATTTAAAAAGCGGCTTTCGGGGCGGCGCACGGTCCAACGCCTTCGGCTGCCCCGCCAAGGTCGAAAGGCGTGAAGCGGAAGAAAGAAATTTGCATGCGCCACGCCACGCTCCGCTCCGTGCCACGCCGCTTGCAGCCGTTAATGTTTGTGTTTCGGACCGGCAGGCGTGGAAAGGCCCGTCGCACCAGCCTTTCACGGGAGCGCCTGTTGATGGCATCGGGAATAGAGAGGGGGGGGGCGAGGAATGGAGAATAGGTCGGAAAGAGGAGGGGAGTTTGCATGAGGCGGTTTTGAAAAAGCGTGAGGTGAAAGGTAGAGAAGTGGATAGATACGGCAATAGATAGGCAAGGGAAGCGAAAAGCGGGAGGTGAAGGGACACCAGAAGATATGAAAGAGGAAGCAAAGTGGATGACGGATCAACACGAATCTCATCACGTCTCTTATGAGTATTGAAGGTGTAAATGCATTGTTATGGTAAACAATTGAAACATTGTTATGATGCACTATTGAATCAATTCGAATGTTGGCACGTCTCTACTGTATGAGATACGTGTAACCTCTTTGTTATGATACAGTATTGAAACATTCACAATGGAAGACCAACATGAACTATTATTTTTCAAATTATATGAAAATAAGCCTATCTGGATAGCCAAGCGTGAACCGACTCTGCGCTACTGCCCGAAGGGTCGCGCGTTCGAGTCCCGCCTTGGGAATGGTTGTTCGTCCCTGCTTCTCAAGAATGTGTTGTCGCGGTGGGCCTCGCTTTCTGTTGGCTCCAGATCAGAGAAGCCCGCAAGTGTGTTTGTGTCTAGTTGGGGCGGAAAGGGCGTTGGCGGTTGGAGAAAGCCCTAGAGGAAAAAATCGTAAATAAAGAAAATCCCATTACATTCTAAAATATATAGTAAGTTAAAAATATTCATTAAATATAGCTTGACCACTATAAATTCCGATTTGAATAATTTCATCTGAATCCCTATCATTCAGCT